AAAAAAAAAGATTCTCATTCAGTTTAAGTACTAAGATAACTAAAAGTAAATAAACTAAAACGAATTGATAATATAAATAAATACTATATTGACATTAGAAAACAAAAACTAATAAAAAGGACAAAAAAAATTTTTTTGTGTATGCATAAACATTATATATGTATAATAGAAAAGCCCTGTTTTTAGTTTAACGCACTAGCTGTAAACACACACGCACAGATATGAAAGTTTGTAAGTGAATAATGATGGTAAAGTTTCTGTATTTAGAGTCCAAACTCACCGATATCGTTTAAGGTCGGCTCAAACTGTGTGTAACGCGGGTTTAAAATATAATCCTGAACAGCAAAGGTCCTGGTGTTGGGACCGGTGTCGTTAAAGGAGTGCTGGCCGAGAATGACCCGAATCTGTGACTTTAGTGGACTGAGAGAGAGAGAGTGTGTATGGAGTTAGACTGAAGCTGTAACTCTATAGAAATGCATGAAGTGCACACACAGACACATACTTGCGCAGGAAGCAGTGAGCGGCCGACACGATCCAGCAGGAGGAGACCAGCGCTCCTGCACAAAACTCGTCTGCGATGTACAGCGCTGCCATCCAGGGGTGAGCGCCGGGCAATGCAGACGTCCCGCCCAGGATTCGACCCCGACTGATCCGCTTCTCCTGCCTCTTCCCACACGCCGTGGTCCTGGAAGAACTGAGGGAGGGCCCCGGGGCCACGGCGATGATGGGACCTCTGTGGCCCGCTGACAGAAACAACAGAGACTGTGTTTAATGAAAATAATCTGAATACACCTGACTGTAGGATACTGAATATTCTATCGCTTAAAACAAATGGACAAAACGTATAGTAGTTGTTTTAGCTGTATGCAATAACTAAATAAACCTGCAATAACAACCTCAGAGGGGTAAGTAAATAAATAAATAAATGTGTAAAATAAAAAGTAAATAAAAAAATAAACTCCTGTGCTTTAGTATTTGTTATTGCTAACACTAGAGTTAAAAGACGCTGATTGCATTTATTTGATAAAAAATGCAGCAAAAATTGTGAAATATTATTACAAATATTATTCTATGTGAATATGTAGTCAAATGTAATTTGTAAATTGAATTTTCAGCATCATTAATCCAGTCTTCTCTCCACAAATCAGTATAATATGCTGATTTGGTGCTCAAGAAACATTTCTGATTATTATCAATGTTGAACACAGTTCATATTTTTGTGGAAACTGTGATTCGTGTTATTTTTCAGGATTCACAGATCAATGGAAAGTTCAAAAGAACAGCATTTATTTGAAACTGAAATCTTCTGCAACGTTATAAATGTCTTTATTGTCGCTCTTGATCAATTCAATGCAAGTTTGTTGAATGAAATATATAAATTTTATGTTTATGTACACTAGATGTATAAAGAGTGACGGTGAGAACAGCCTGCTTGAACACGCCTGTCGCGGATCATGAGCGTCTCTGAACACCGTTAATAAAATAACTATCTAAATCTAGCGCTTCAGGCGACGCTGGGTGAGATTTTCCCTTCCCACACCTGAGAAAGTCCGTGGGATTTCTAGAGAAGTTTTTAGGAAAGGTTATCTTTGTTTCTTGTTTACTGCTGTTGTGAGTCATGAGAAGCTCAGGATCTGGTTTGGAGCAGGGCTTGATGGCGCAGTACTCCCACGAAAACGGCTCGCTCCGTCATCGTGTAACACCACGGCAGCTTATCTTGATCAGGATTCCTGCCAAATCAAGGAAACATCTCAGACAGCACAAGATCACAGTCACACATAATACTGATATTAAACAGCAGATCTGCTCAGTTCAATCCGGTACATGTTTCTGACTGATGTCTGTTTTGCTAGAGAAAGTCACGCTTTCTCAAAAAAGATGTGCATTTCAGAGCATTTTTGCTTTGTAATGTGAAGTCCTGCATTCTCCCTCAAACAGCAGAAAAGCAGCACAAACACATGATTCCTGTCTGAATCTGAGCGGAAATATGAGTTTCCCTTTCGATACTGCACTCGTACTGCGTCTGCTAGACGCTATGGGAAAAAGTCATTTTTTCTCCAGAACTGAAGCCTTTTTCAATCACGCAGTGAAACTGCACGGCCATTGGTTCGTGCAGTGTTTTAAAAACAAACCTATGGCAGCGAAGCCTGCCAAAGCCCGCCAGAATGGGCGGAGTCATCTGGCTATATAAGCGGCTGCTTCGCTATAGGATTCAGATTTCTTCATCCTTCAGCGACGACGACGTTCTTCGCATCTCCACTGACTGAAGAGCCTGCTCGCCGTTGACACGCCTTGCAGCGGAACGACTCTGCCCGGCTGATCCAGCGCCTTCGCCGCCTTCAGCACGAGCAGCAGCAGTCCGGGTCCCCTGCCGCCATCCGGCGAGATAGAAGAGCAAATTTCTAAAGAGCAAATTTCTCGGCGTTGTTACAAATGCCGCGCCGTTACTGCGGTACGTGCAGGGCCCCCTTGCACGCCGATGACGGCCATCGTGAGTGCGTTTTCTGCTTGGGGAAATCCCACACGGAATCCGCGCTCACCACACACACACACACACACACACACACACACACACACACACACA